TTTTTGGGATGAGGAGGGTCAGATACGGGGTAGGGTAAGAAAAAAAAATTGAAGGATAAAGTAGAGTTTTGGAAAACGTATTCCTTAATTTTTGAAGGGAAGCCATTTTCCTTAAATTCAAGGAAAATGAGTTGATTTGAAAAACATTTTCCAAAATATTTAAGTCAACCAAACATGGGATTCAAAGTGTGATATAGTAAAAATTATCCTTCTATTTATAGTTTCTTCAGAAGTGTGCAAAGTCAATAGTAAACAAGTATTGTTGGACAAAAGAAATATATAATTTTTTAAACATATTTTAAGTAAAAGTAGGAAAAATAAGTTTTACAAGTAGCATTCCACATTGATTGGTCTTTTACCCTCTTCAAGACTCTTTGTCTTCATGACCTCAATTCTTAAGCCCCAATCCAACTATCTCATCCCTCGTCTTCCATAGTATTTGTCTAGATTTTATATAAATATTTTTAGAATAGTATTAGAGTAGTTGCTTGACACAGAAAAATATAAGTAATTAAGCAACCTATTTATTTCACAATAAGTATTTTCCGTGCAAACCAATTTCAATATTCGTACCGAAGTACAGACCTATGAGAATATAGAAGTGTGCAGATTATATCTTCTTTGTCTCTCAGATATATTTTCAGAAAAGATTAAATTCTTTTGTGGTTTAACCACCAACTTATTGGTAAACTTTTAATCAGTACTGTCCAATCTAGTACTAGTAAAACACACTAAAGACTTGTCAAAGGTATAGGGTAGGCTGTCTTGTTCACGCTTTTTGAACAAGGACATTTTCACACTATGGACTTGTAAAAATATCTTCAATTCATGATCTGAATAGTTTTGATTTGCGTTGGGTAAGATTCATTAAAAAGAATTGCTCCATTGAGTTCTTATTCAAGTTTCTTCATTTCCGACGTTAGAACTCTATGAGATACTTATGAAGGTGGAGAAATCAAAAAATCCTACTCCCTCTGTCTCAATTTATGTGACACATTTCGTTTTTCGAGAGTCAAGCAGTTTAAGTTTGACCGAGAATTTGCTCATGAAATCTTCAAATTTTTTAAAATGAAATTTATATATTTGTAAACTACATAAAAAGTATTATAAGTCTCAATAATTGATAGTTCAAAATATTTAAAAGATATAGGACAAATTTATGGTCAAAGATAGACTTGTTTGAATCTCGAAATCCGAAATGTGTCACATAAATTGAGACAGAGGGAGTATTTATGAATAATGAATTGCAGTTTAGGGGTGTTTTTCAACACTTCTGGCTTTGTATTAATTAAGAGTTTCACGGCCCTATAAGAGTTTGAGATCGCTTGTTATATCATATGTCAGATCATTAGGGTGTATTTAAATTCAGTTAGTCAAGTAGAAAAGTATTTTTGAGATTATCAATAATTCAAAGATAAAATCAAGTTCAGAGGTATTTTCAGTACTTATTTCATTAAAAAAAGGTTATAAACTTCTCACATGAATAATATCTGCTAAAGTGAAATTGGAACTTTGAAAAAAATTGGTGATTTAGATTTTAAATTCTAGCCAATTAGCTTCTTTTAATTTGTATAATCATTGCATCACTAGAGCCTGATTTTCTTGAAGAAAAAAAAAGAGCAGCCATCTCAGCATATGATCTTTGCAGCCAATTTCGACTTTTGAGTTCACATATAAGTTGTTAAAAGTAAAAGTCCAATTCAGAAGCCCTTCAATAATCTAAGCTTGTTTGCTCAACTTTCGACTATTTTAGTATCTCTAGGTACTAAAAGGTTATTTGGTTTATGAACAGATTATTCTGAGATTATAATTAAGATATTGTGATTATAACAAAAATTATCTACCATATATTCTATATGAAATAGATATCTTATGATTATGATAAAAAAAAAATTGCCCTCATTGTAATTAGTATAATTATAAATTTTATACTTTTTAGATAATTAACCTACATAATCCCTTAGATAGTCTAAAACAATGACGACACTAAAAAAATTCACAATTATAATATTACGAGTTTGAATCCGTCGTCCCATGTCTGATTCTGTTATTCCATTTATTTTGGTTATCTTCAATATGTATACTGTTAGTATTTTACATTCTTTAATATTTTCATCATAAGTTTTTGTTTTTTACTTTTATTTTAAACTATTTTCTAAAAAACGGTTTTCTTGATCTAAAGGTCTTTCAGAAACACATTCTCTACTATTATTGTCGTCTTGGTCATCTAAAGTCACCCTTTTTTATCCTCGATGAGGACCACTATATATTACAATAATTGAATTGGAAGAAAGAATAAAACATATATATATGTGTTCACATTTTAGCAAAATAGGTGCAAGATAATTTGGCTACAAAATTCCAAAGTCGTTGTTATATGTCAAAGATGATAAAGATAAACGCACACGAGATGCCGCATAATAACGACGACTATTTATGTACTTACTTTGATTCTACTACATCTTCAACATTATTATACTCTCTGTCTCTATCTTAGGTACATAAAAAATAATAAAGGGCTTAAAAATAAAAAAATTCTAGAAATTGATGTGTCTGCTCAACAAATTCCCTTTTGTATTTGAAAAAAAAAAAGCAATCCTCTTTAAGAAAAAAATATTCTAGTTGTTAGCCTATTTTCCACTTCCTTCTGGAAAATTTGTGCTTATCAGTAAAGAATATTTCATTCAACTGCAATATCAATTTAATATCAAGGGTTTTACGTTGTATAGTTGTTCACCAAAATATCAATTTCAAATGCAAGTTTCTTCACGTTGTTAGAATGGGTAAAAGTCTCACATTGATTAGGGAATAAACCGGTGGTCTCCTTATATGGACTTGGATAATCATTCCCTCATGGGCTAGCTTTTGGGGTTGAGTTAGGCACACATGTCATATCCTTACATGGTATCAAATCCGGGTCCATCTCCGTTTAGACTCTCGGTCCACGCTCCAATTGGGCCTGGGCGTGAAGGGGAGTGTTAGAGTGGGTAAAAGTCTCACATTGGTTGGGGAATGGATTGGTGGTCTCCTTATATGGACTTGAGCAATCCTTCCCTCATGAGCTAACTTTTGTGATCGAGTTAGGCTCAAATGTCATATCTTTACATTAACGTACATGTTTTATACATAACAAATGTATAGTTTTTTTTTATATTTGACTAGCGATTATGAGTATTTTCGATGGACGGTCAAATATGTTACTAATTGGGTTCTTTAGCTTGCTAGCCTCGAGATAACAGTAGTGGGCTTGTTATTTCCATTCCAATATTTCCTCTCTTTTTTCAAACATATTGATAAAAAGATTTTTTCATTCTTTAATACTCACTTCATGTCTAGTGCTGGACATTTAGTGTGTGAACGAATTTAATTTGGGGGTCGTCTAATATTGGGTGAGATAGATCATACTCTAATACCATGTAAAATTAGGTTTTGAACCTAAATCACACCGCTAGCTCAAAAGAAAGGGAATTTCTCAAGGATTATAAGGAGACCACTCATTTCATTAACCATTAATACGATTTTTTTATTCTTTAATAATCTTGTTGAGGAATAACATAGTCTGTATAATCCTACAATGAATATGGTTACAATATTTTAAAGTCGTGTAAAAAATGATAAACGTAACGCACACGAGATGCCGCATTGTATGCGACTATGATGTACATTGGATTCTATTAACATTTCAAAGATGATATCTTTGGAGTGTAAAATTGAAGGGGAAAAAAGGAATTATTCCAAATAAGCAATTTGTTATATGGACCATCCAAATAAATATCCTTTTGTCATTTTGAAAAGGAAGCCTCTATAAAAGAAGTTATATTCCAATTGTCAGCCCATCAAATTCTATCTTTTTTCCCTTCCTTGTTGATAATTTGATCTACTGCTTGTCGATGAAGAATATTTCATTGTGGACCAAAAAAAGAATGCGGATCAGTTAAAATAATTACATTCACTAGCTAAATATACAAAAAAAAAATGTATATTTTATATATATCATATATTAATATATTTGTTTGTTATTATTATTTTAATACGCGGTTATTTATGTTATTTTCTCATATGCATAATGCATTTCAGTCAATGATATGCCAGTCGTCTATATAGTTAAAGTTGGGCCTATGTTTGATGGGTTTAGGATTTTGGGTCTTTAGTTGTTCTTAAGTGATTGGATTGGGCCTCATATGACAGTAATGTGGAAATATTTCTGGTTATGAAAGAGTACCAATTTTTCATCTTGAAAAACATGGGATGAGTTGATTCGAGCCAATTTTCGTGAACTTAAGCTACTATTTATTTCATTTACTTGTTCAAATTGTTATATAATGTCAAAAATTCATTTTTTACATATTTAATGAAAAGAGTCAAAATTACGCTTAAACTATTTCATTAGACTATATATATCCGTTAGCTTAGTGGGTCCTTTGTCACATCGGGTTGCTATATCAGTACAAAGGACTCATTAAGTTAAAAGGTATTTGTGGTCCTTAGTGCTAACGACAAGGTAATTTTTCTACCAATATGAAATGGAGAATAAATATAGTCTAAATCTAATAGTTCGACCCTTTTCCATATGTTAATGATAATTTACCTCTTAAAATCAAAATTAGGGTCAATATGTGTGAAGATAAAACATCTGGCATGTAGTGCCAACTATTAGTTCATTCTGTTAGAAGTCATTGTCAAGATGTTAGTTATATTGTTAGTTAGTTAGAACAGTAAATAGTTTGTTACAAATAGATACTGTAATCAGTAGAGATAGTTACAATTTAGAATCTGTATAAATACTAATACATAGAATGTAATATGCACTGAAGGATGAAATAATATTGCAGTTGGTTGGTTTACTCTTCATCCATTCTCTCATTTATTCTCAAATACTCCATAGCCACAACTTCCATTAGAGAAGACTGTGAGCTTTCTTAACATGATATCAGAGCTACGACTATAAATCTCATTTTCATTTTCTTGCTTCGCATTCTGTTCTTGTCACCAGATCTTCAATGGCAGAGCGGATCGATCACACACATCCTCTGTACGTGCATCCATCAGACACTCCTGGAACTGTTCCCATTCCATTTCAATTAAAAGGTTCTGAAAACTATGGGATATGGCGGAGATCGATGACGATAGCTTTACAGGCTAAAAGGAAATTGGGTTTTGTTACATGTGTTTGCACAAAAGACTTAGTTCGAGATGAACATCACGAACATTGGGAAACCTGCAATGCATTGGTACTTTCTTGGATCATGAACATTGTTGCCCCCATCTCTCCTTAGTGACATTGTTTATGCTTCAAATGCCTTCTTAGTTTGGGAAGATTTGAAGGAGCGATTTGACAAGGTCAATCGTATGAGAATTTATCAATTGCATCGAGAAATCAACACAATTGTACAAGGAACGAACTCTATAGTTGAGTATTTCACCAAATTGAAAGAATTGTGGTCTGAATTTGATGCAATGGTCCCTTCTACTGATTGTGGTTGTGCTAAAGGGAAGGAGAATGTGAAGCATCTTCAACAACAACGCTTGTTACATTTTTTAGGAGGCTTAAATGATTCTTATGATCAAGCAAGACGACAAATCCTTATGAAGACAGTTGAACCTATTTTAAATCAGGCTTATGCACTAATCATTGAGGATGAATGCCAAAAGGGTACTGGTCTGAAAGCTATGCCTAATTTGATTGTGAAAGGTAATGACATTACTGCACTATGGAGTGCACGAGGATCACAGACCTATATGAAACCACATAATGAACACTGGAATGAGAGATGTGATTTTTGTAAGATTAAAGGTCACATTAAGGCAAATTGCTATAAGTTTACTGGTTATCCTCCCAATTACAAAGGCAAGAAGAAAGATGGAATTGCTGCTAATAACTCTTTCTTGGGTGATCAATACCCTATGAGGTCTTTGGATCAGTTTTCTTATAATGGTAACAATTTTCATCCACAGCCAACAGGTTCACATTATAATGGTTACAGCTCAAACAATTATGATTTTAATGGTTATACACCAGAAGTTCCTCATAGGGGTCAATGAAAAATGGGAATATATGCACATGGACAGATTACATCAAATCAATATCATCAGAATGTGTCCATGCCTGACAAGGATCAATATTTTCTGCTCATTCTGTAGGTATTGTTACCTCATTTCATGCTAGTAGTATGCCTAATAGGTGGATAGTTGATACAGGTGTCACTAATCACATGACTTCAGATCTAAGATTGCTATATGAAACCTGTAAACAACAAGGTCAGCATGTTCATTTGCCTGATGGAAGTAAAACATTTATATCTCACATAGGACAATGTAGGTTGCCTCAAGGTGTTATTCAGAATGTCCTCCATGTTCCAGATTTTGAATACAACCTGTTATCAGTTTCCAAGTTAATAAGGGAATTACAGTGTTGTATGACATTTTATCCAGATTATTGTCTACTACAGGACCTTCACACTGGGAAAGTGAAGGGGATTGGTAGGCTAGAAGGAGGCTTATACTATGGGATCACAAGAAACAAAACTATTATGCAGCTTCTTTAAGGACCAAGAGTGATAATGAACTTTGGCACAGGAGGCTTGGTCACATTCCAGGCAAAAAACTTCACCAAATGTCCCTAATAAAATCTAAGGATAATGTAGTGTTTTCTTGCCATGTATGTCCTTTGGCAAAACAAACTGGAATTCCATTTCTAAGAAGTATGAGTAGAGCATCTAGACCTTTTGATCTGATTCATGAAGATGTTTGGGGTCCTTACAGGGTACCCACCCATGATGGTAAAAAGTTTTTCTTCACTTTAGTTTATGATTGTAGTAGGACGACTTGGTTGTTTCTGTTGAATTTGAAAAGTGATGTTAGTACTGTTATTCAAGAATTTTTGTTACTTATCCAGTCTCAATTTAATACTTGCATCAAGGTGTTTAGAAGTGACAATGGTATTGAGTTCTTCAATACACACTGTCGAGACTACTTTAGAGGTGCAGGCATAATACACCAAACTTCTTGTGTTCATACACCCCAACAAAATAGGGTGGTTGAGAGGAGACAGACAAATCCTTAAAGTTGCCAGAGCACTTAGATTTCAAGGACATATTCCCTTGAGATTTTGGGGGTTATGTGTTCAGTATGCTGTTTATCTAATCAATAGAATCCATTCTACAGTCCTACAAGGGAAGTGTCCTTTTGAGGTATTTTATGGTAAGACGCATAACATTCAGCATTTGAGAGTTCTAGGTTGTCTTTGCTATGCAACTATTACCAAAGATTGTAATGACAAGTTTGATCCTAGAATTGAAAAGGTTGTTCATATAGAATATTCCAGCACACAAAAGGATTATGTTCTTTATGGTCTTATTAGCAAACTGTTCTTTGTTAGCAAAGATGTCACTTTCTATGAAAATAATTTTCCCTTTCAAGTAAATGCTTCCCCTTGCCATGACTTACAAGTCCATGATATATCTATCACACATGAACACTTGTAGAGGAATTAGATCTTGTTCCTCATGGTTCAAATATTTCTGATGATAATAATGTACTTCATAATCCTGTCTCCACACCTACTCCAATTCCTCCTGTTGCAGTTAGGAATTCAAGTAGAATGGTTAAACCTCCAGGCTGGCTTCATGACTTTGTTCATGCCCTTTTACCGTCCCATGATGTGTCTCTTCCACCTTCTACTTCTTGTCAATATCCTCTATCAAATTACTTGTCCTATGCTAATATTGTTGTTCCCTATTACAAGTCCATATGTGCTTATTTTGCCATCAAAGAGCATATTACATATGTTGAGGCTGCAGGACATTCTGAATGGTTACTTGCCATGCAATAAGAACTTTAAGCCCTTGATGACAATAATATTTAGTGTTTTGTTGATCTACCTCCTGGCAAGAAAGCCATTGGTTGTAAGTGGGTGTTTAAGGTGAAATACAATGCTCTAGGGGAGGTTGAAAGGTACAAGGCTCGACTGGTTGCTAAGGGTTACACTCAGGAAGAAGGCTTGGATTATCAAGAAACCTTCTCCCAGTGGTGAAAATGATCATTGTTTAGGTTGTTTTATCAATAGCTATTTTGCGTGGTTGGAAGCTTCACCAAATTGATGTATTCAATGTTTTCCTTCAAGGTGATCTAGATGAGGATGTCTACATGATTCAACCACCTGGTTTTTCCAGCAAGGGAGAGTCAACCAAGGTCTGTAAGCTTAAAAAATCCCTTTATGGTCTCAAACAGGCCTCCAGACAGTGGAATTGAAAACTTACAGAAGCTTTACTGAGTTTTGGATTTTCTCAGAGTCATCATGACTACTCTTTATTTACCAAAATAATTGGGGCTGACACTGTCATTATTTTGGTCTATGTGGATGACCTTCTACTCACTAGTTCCTCTTCTGATCTTATTCTGGAAACTAAAGTTATGCGTAATCATCATTTCAAGATCAAGGACTTGGGGGAGATGAAGTGCTTCCTTTGTCTTGAAATTGCTAGAAACATGAAGGGTATCTTTGTCAAAGAAAGTTTAGTCTTGATTTAATTCCAGATCTTGGTTTAATAGGATCAAAGCCTGCTAGCACTCCACTTGAAGTAAACTTTTATATGATAAAGGCCTAGATGCTAATTCAGGAAATTCATTGGATGATGAGTCTTTAAAGGATCCTACAGGTTATCAAAGCTAGTAGGCAAACTACTTTACCTCACAATTACAAGACCTGATATTGCCTATATTGTACAGAACCTTAGTCAATTTATGCACTCAACTAAAATGTCTCACATGGAAGCTGCATTAAGAGTGGTTAGATACCTGAAGAATTCTCCTGGTTTGGGAATACTCTTATCCTGAGACTTCACACAATTTGAGTGTTTATTGTGACGCAGACTAGGCAACTTGTCCCATGACAAGAAAGTCAGTTAGTGGTTTTGTTGTAAAGATTGGTGACTCACTGATATCTTGGAAATCCAAGAAACAGAATACTATATCCAAAAGCTCAGCAGAGGCTGAATACAGGAGTATGGCAAGTGCTACTGCAGAGGTGATTTGGTTAGTTGGGTTGTTTGCAGAATTGAACTGGAAGTTGGCATTACCTATGAAGCTATTCTGTGATAGCAAGGCTGCTTTACAAATTGCAGCAAATCCCATATATCACGAAAGGACGAAGCACATTGAAATTGGCTGTCATTTTATTAGGGAGAAGATACAAAAGGGAATGATACAAACAGAACATGTCAGGACAGAGTTTTAGCTAGCAGACATCTTGACAAAAGGACTGGGACATGCACAACATGATTTTCTATTATCCAAGCTTGGAGAATTCAACTTGTTTCATATGACTAAGCTTGGGGGGGAGTGTGAAGATAAAGCATCTGGCACATAGATATAATATCTAATAAGTACAATATTAGATGTTAAATATTGATTAATAAAGATTGAGACTTGTTCTTGTATTGTATGTATGTTCTGTGTGCTTACCAAATTACTATGCTACCTAAAAGTAAGAACAATCTAAAAGCAGGGCCGACTAAATAAGATTGGGGGCCTAAAGCGAAATTTAAGGGAGGGCCCCTAATATTTTGTTTTCTCATCATATATACTTTTATTTAAAATCTACTTTTCTAGCTTTTTTTTAGATTGCGAAATCATTAGTTACTGTTTTATAATCGATTTGTTTTAATAAGATTTAATCAATTTTAGTTTCGAAAAACTTCTTTCAGCTGAGGCAACGGTTAGAGAAACTGTTAACATTATTCTATAAGCAATATGTGTATTTGAAAGAGAATCAAGTCTTTTATTTGATTGCGTATTTTCATTAGATAATTATCTTCTACATGTATTATTTCTCTTAACACTTTCAATTCAAAAAATAAATATAAACCATCAATAACAGAATAAGTATTATGTGTTAAAGATCAAGGTTTAGACAATGATTTTTAAATTCTCATCATCTAGTGATCTCAATTTACCACTAAATAAGAAAAAAAAACTATTTTCATATGCTTCAATTGGTTCAAATCTATTTTGAAGTGAAAAAATAGTTTGATCTACTCTACATAAATAAAGCAATCAACTCTAAAAGATTCTTCAAGGGACTTTGTGATTTCGCTATCTATATTTTCATCAAATTGTTTCATACGAAATTCAAGTTTATTTTCATCTTATATGCAATTTCCTTAGTAGAAATCATAATACTCATAGTACATATAATTTTTTTAAAAAATAATATATATAAGTAATTCATTCATTTCATACGCAATTTCCTTATACCTTAGTAGAAATCATAGCACTCATAGTACATATAATTATTATTTTTTTAAAATAACATTCATAAGTAATTTTTTTTTAAAATGGGAGCCCCCAAAAATATGAGGCCTCAAGCGATTGCTTTAGTGGCCTAGGGGTTAAGACGGCCCTATCTAAAAAGCTTAATAAAAAATGTGAGAATTGTAAGACGACAGTTTGTGTTTGTTACAACTGCCTAACAATGGTGTTAAATGGAAAAACTTACCCCTGCATCAATACATAATGTATAATGTGCTCATAGACTATTTATTTGTTATGAAAAATTTCAAACATAATGTGTTATTTACTAAAAATAGGTATATCTTGCATGGGTCACTAGCTACAATGTAGGGGATCCCCTTATATTTGCTTTCCACTATAATTTATCCAATCTTTTTCGTAAATCCCGTATATACATAAATCAAGTGATAATTACGTGTATCAATTATCATAAGATAACATTTTTATTTGATTATATAATTCCAATAATGTTTCTAGTTAAACTTAAATCCAAAGATTAATTCTTTATCCAAATCAAATTCTCCTATAAAACCATCGTTATAATCTTTTTTTTTTTTTTCACCTCGTACTATTAATCCCAAATTTCTTTATTAGATTTGGATAGTTTTTTTCCTGTTCTAATGGCGGATTCATTACTCCCACAAGATGCTCTTTTTCTTGGCTTTGACAGTTCTACTCAGTAAGTATATATTTCTTCATTAATTACGCTTTCTTCTGATTTCTTTAATTGATTGTCAGATCAATTCGTAATGGGTTCGATCAATTTGGTTAATACTCAAAGGTTTTGTTAATTTTCCTGTGATGGGTTAGGTTTATTATCAACTGGGTATTTGGGATTTCATGAAAAATTATTAAATTGGGATATGTATTTTTTTAAAAATATTTTTTTTGGATCATCAGGTCACTGAAGGCTACTGTGCTTGATGCCAATCTGAATATTGTGGCTGCTGAATTGATTAATTTTGACTCTGAGTTATCCCATTACAAAACTGAAGGGGGTGTTTATCGTGACGCGTTAGTAAATGGGAGAATTGTTTCACCCACATTGATGTGGGTAGAGGCATTTGAATTGATTCTTCAGAGACTTGAAAAATCATCAAAATTCGATTTTGGGAAGATTGCTGCTGTTTCAGGTAGTGGACAGCAGCATGGTAGTGTGTTTTGGAAGAAAGGGAGTGCTGCGGTATTATCATCTTTAGATGCTAAGGGATCGTTGTTAGAGCAGCTAAATGATGCTTTTTCGACTAAAGAATCTCCGATATGGATGGACAGCAGCACGACGGAACAATGCAAGGCAATAGAGAAGGCTGTTGGAGGGGCAATGGAGTTGTCTAGACTTACTGGTTCTCGTGCATACGAGAGATTTACTGGTCCGCAGATCCGGAGATTATTTGAGACACAACCGGAGGTTTATGATAAGACTGAGAGAATCTCCCTTGTTAGCTCCTTCATGGCATCTTTGCTTATTGGGGGCTATGCCAGCATTGATCACACGGATGGTGCAGGGATGAATTTGATGGACATTAAGCAGAGAGCGTGGTCCGATATCATTTTGAAGGTATTTTGGTTTGTAATAAGAATGTGGAAGGCCTTTCGCACCCAAAGAAAGAATCATAACTAGACCAAATGTCTTCCTGTTCTATTGATATTTTTATTAGCAATTCTTGGTTAATGTTATAATGTGTTGGTGAAGAAACTAATGCTTATCTATTCTTCTTTTTTAGGTTTTGGTTGAATGTTAAACATGTTGGTTGGTTAATTTGTGCTTTACTTGGTTCTCCAGGCCACAACTCCTGGTTTGGAGGAAAAACTTGGAAAATTAGCTCCTGCGCATGCTGTTGCTGGATCTATTGCTGCCTATTTTGTGGAGAGGTAGATCACTATATGCTTTCCTTGCTTTAAACTCAGTTTCATCATAAGAAATTTAAAGCTTTCTTTTTTTACTTTTCGTTCTGACCAATATTCTTGAGCGAAATCAATGGGTGTTCATGGGACCTTACCTAGAAATTCACTGGTGATGATCAAATTGGTATTTGGATCTTCAAAGAGGATCTAGTAGAAACTAATCACCCATTCAATCAGGGGTCAACCAAGTGCATTAGCTATAAATTCATCCGAACCCAGTAGTTTTGACTTTTGTTATGTTGAAAAATACGCTAAATTAGTTTACAAAATAGAATTCGGATTACGGACTCTACAAATCAAGTGGGCCGTGGTAGAATCCTGTCCTAGAACCCATAATGTTCAAATCCTGAATCCACCTCTGCATTCAATAATGTCTGCATTGTCCTCTTCTCTATTTTTGCTGGTGAAGTGATTAGAGAGGCACTTTGATTTAAAGTGCTTAGCTTTGCTCTTTTTTTAGGTGTTAGTATAGATACTTTTCCTTATATTTGCTATCTGTGTGTTAAATCTTCCATAAACCGCTTTTCAGGTATCACTTCAACAAAGACTGTTTGATCATTCAATGGTCTGGAGACAATCCCAACAGCTTGGCAGGTGAGAGGATTTTGCTGAAAATTCTGTGTGTATTTTCTGTTA